CATAATTACTGATTTCTACCATTATTGTGGCTTTCGCATAATGGCTTTTTACTAATAAAATAATGTGTTCCAGTCAGTTTAGGTTCATTTAGGATAGCATGCCACTAATATAATCAAAGCTCAATTTTACTCCAATTCACAAAAATCTATTTGATGGATTTTTAAACTAAAGACTATCTTGCAAGTCAGGAAACTGTTACAGTTCCTCACATGTCACCAACTAAGGGATGTTGACTTAGTTTACCAATGCCCACTCAGAATGTATAGGGGTATCAAAGTTCTGTCCACATTCTTAATACTTCTGGAGAGTATTTAATTTGAAACACCTACAGCTGGTCTTAAGAGTTAATGCGATGCATATTTAAAAAGACAGAACTTCAACCACACTGTTGTAGTCACCATCTTGACTTTTTTTGACCATGTCACATGGATACCACCTACTTAATTTCTACTCTTAGCATTTTCCTTGGCAGATCAGGAACAAATTGTCTGCTTTCCTCAGCCCACAACACGTAAAAAACTCAAATCCATTGACCTAGGTGCCTGTTTTTCACATGGTAATGAACTGACTCATATTTTTAACCTGTAGGCTGTAAGAAAAAAAACCCTCTCATGTTAATCCAGCTGTAATATATTGGAAGGAAGATAACTATGCCTATTGATGATAAATTCCCATTTAAAAAATGACAGCTAACAGACACCAGTCAAACTGAATCTTTTGACATATTCAGAGAAGAACTTAGTCCTGCTAAGAGCCTCTCCCTCCCTCCATCTCTAAAGGGCAAAACTTGAAAAAAAAATGCATGAGATTAGTTTGGGGGGGGGTAGCTGTATAATCTTCTGCTCAAGGAGGATTTCAACGAGAATTTTGGAGTACCAACAAATTTATTTGGGAAAAAGAGGAAAAACACACAGCTGTATAGTTATACATACAGAATTGCAAATAAAATCCATAAAGTTAGTTTAAATGTGATAGACTTGCATAAATGATTCAAGTTCCAGAATATATATAAAAATGCATTACGGAGAAGATGAACTGAGAGCCACATCTGGGCTTCCTGTTGGAGGCAAACTGCTAACATTTTTCTCTGCTGTAAAGCACATGTTTTGTGGTGTTAAAGCCACCTTCTTAGGAAGAGATCAGTTACTTCATTGTTCCAGCTGGTGAAACAAAAAATTATCTATTAGTTAAACCCACTTTCCCAACTGCCTTATAGATAAATGACAAAGCAGTTGATGTAAGCTTCACTGATTGAAGTATTAGATCAAACAGTGATAAACTGGAGGTATATTTTGTGAAATAATAGCTGAGTCCTGTTCTATTTAAATTCCTAGCTGGGTTCAACTTATCTGGGAGTACCTCTAGTTTGGTTGAAACAAGACAAAAGTTAGGGATTTGTCAGAGAAAATTGACCTTCTGCTATATACAGCTACAGTAAGAGTCACCTTTTTGGTGAGAGGTGCAACATATAAATTTAATAGATAAAAAATAAATCTTTAGCAGGAAAATCCTAAGTGGCTATTCCAAAGAAACAAAGAGATAAAACAGTATATGAAAATATTTGATCTTAGGCAGAACTAACTTCTCCTGGGAGTTTGGCCAATATGGCCATTCTGCATCATTATCTGTCATTTCAAAATGAAAGTAGCTGTATTCAGAAGGGAAATTAAATAAGTGGGAGGTGCACCGCAGTGAGGAAAAAGGAGAAGTAAGGAAATACATTTCAGGAAATTCCTACAGGGAAGGCATCCTGAAGATGGTGAACATCATGGAAATTTTGCTGTTTTGAATATTGGTGGTAATGCCACAACTTTTCTACTAAAGCAGGGTTTTTTTCTGACAACCTCCTCAAAAATTGCAAAGATGGAAAAACTGCACAAAGGGGCAATCAAAATAATTAAAGAATTGAAAGAACTTAACTATGAAAAAGGTTAATGCTTTTTGACAGAGGAAAAAATGATGAATAAAAGGGGACACACAAGAGAGGTATGTAAAATAGAATGTATTTTATTACATTGGATTGAACTGCGGTGTCCTTGGTCTCTCTCTAAGCTTTGCTGTTAGCTTGCAGTTCTTTCATTATCTGACTAGGTAACATTATCAGTGCTGGTGATTGTGGGGTGTGCTCCTTGTTTATATTCATTGCTCTCTCTGGTAGGTCCTTGATTATGCAATTGTTTTCTGCTTCATTGTTTGGTGTTAATCCCTGCTTAACTGGGGTATCTGGTTGCTGGAGCATATGTGTTCTAGTCTTTGTTATTGTTTTTCTGAATAACGTGTTAATGTGATTTATATTTATATGTCTATTGATGCCAAGCTTCCAGGAATTCCCTAACACTTTTGGATTTGTCTTGGTCTAGGATGCTCACAATTTCCCAGTTGAAACCATGGACGAATCTGTCTACTAGTTGGTGTTCTTACTAATATTTTTATTAATTTTTCTACAGAACATACCATACATATAATAACTAACCATCCGAAAGAAATATAAATAAATAGAGAGAGACAGAGGTGCAAAAAGATAAAGAAAACAAAAATAGAAACAAAGACTGACTTCTGATATTTTAAAAAAACACTTAAAATTTGTTAGTTTAACACTCCAACATAACATCCCTTTTCTCCCAAAAATGTTTTTTTTAATAATTGTAAATCCATATATCATAATAGCAACCTAGTCTCACTTTGGATAGTGAGATGGGTGGAATCTACATTTAATAGATAAAGAAATAATTTGATATTTTTTCCATTTTCTCCACAAAAAGGCTTCCAAATTCCAGATGAATTTCTTCAGTGACTTTCCTCTCACAAGAGCCATTAATTTAGCCATCATGTCTGTCTTACATAGTGGCTGTTACAGTCTTTACATTGTATGTTGTAGCAAACTCTTTCAAAATATTAGGTCTTGGGGTCATCCAATGAAGCTAAATGGCACAAGATTCAGAACGGATTAAAAGAAGCATTTCTTCACAAGGTATACAGTCAAAGGATGACATTCATGGAAAAAAAGAGATGCAGAGATATCCATCAGAATATTCTTTTTTAGAGTAAGTATTATTATGCAAAATACAGAAAGAAATAAAAAAGTAAAGGTATCAGTTCACAGAAAAGGAAATATGGCTACATCTTATTATATTTACTTATATTTCATATTTCTAAACTGCCTATCTCCCGCAGAGAGGCCTCCTTCGCACCAAATTCTTCACATGTCTTTCTATCTTTGCAAACCATCTTTGCTTCTGTGATGTCCACACATTAATAACCTTTGATTCTTTAAACTTCTCAGTTCTTTTTGGGGATGTCATTAACTCTACATGGACAAAATCTATACAGTACAGTCACTAGGAATCAACAGTGACTTTATGGCACGTAATTGATCAGTCATCAACTCTGTCCAACTATCACTTTCTAGTCATTCCCCATTTTCTTGATCGCTGCACTCTTCATTCAGATGACTATTTTGCAATTTAATCCTCTTCCTTTTCGCTGCATAACTAATGTATGTCAACCAGCTTCTCTTCTACAGCTCACTCACCCCTGTGCTCAGTCCACATTCATTCATTACCCACTCATTCTCGACTATAGTATCTGTGTCAGCTCTGTGTACATATTAGGTGACAAAATAAGGGCAACAGTACATTGGCTTGTTAAGAGCTTCTACATTAAAAATCCTAGCTTGCACTGAACAGCATGAAGTAAAACTCAGCTTTGATTGAACTTGTGGCATGACCTCAGAAGGAAGACCAAGGTTGTTCCTCTAGTAGTTTATACAAAGCAGATGGGTGCAAAAATTACAGGTGGATTCATTTGTTAAGTATACCTGTGTCTGGCAGGAATAGTATTTGGCAGGCTTTTGACTGAAAGAGTACAAGAAGCATCAGTGAGCAAAATTCAGGAAGTGCAGGATGATGTTAGGCTGGGCAGGGAGCGAGCAACCTATACCGTGGGTCTGCTCTGTTATATAGTATGGAAGGGAGTGGTTTAAGAGAAATGTAAACGTTAGTTGAGCAAAGCAGGAATGGAGTTTTTAAGAAATGTGCAAATGGTAAAACAACAAAGAAAAGAGAAGGTCAAATCTACAGTACTGCAGGTTTTTCTCCAGCGCATCCCTGTTCAGCTTCCGGGCCAGGGTCAACCAGTGCTTCCACCTGCTGCGATACCATGGTCTCTAAATTACTGATGGGCACCTTCCACAGCAGTCTCAGTTGGACCACCTGTTATATGCAGAGATGGGGGGGGAGGGGGAATCAAGGCTCAAGCTCTTTTTTTCACCTCTATAAAGGCCCTTTCAGCCCACACGGGCAAGGAACCGTATCTGTAGCAAAATGCAAGTAATAAACCATACATACGTTTTATCTGCAAACAAAGGCGAACTTCCGTTTAAACAAGGCATTTATGGCTATAGCAGTGGTTCTCAACCTTTCTAATGCCACGACCCCATAATACAGTTCCCCATGTTGTGGTGACCCCCAACCACTTATACATCACCGGGTGCCAGGGGCGTGGCCAAAGAAAAGGGGGAAAAAATGGCGGACAGCCTTGTTGGGTGACCCCCGTGAAATGGTCGTTCGACCCCAAATGGGGTCCCAACCCACAGGTTGAGAACCACTGGGCTATAGAGTCCTTCAAAGGCCGGAGCCAGGAAGCTCTATAGTAGGGGTTCTCAACCATGGCAACTTTAAGACTTGTGGACTTTAACTCCAAAGCTGGCTGAGGAATTCTGGGAATTGAAGTCCACAAGTCTTAAAGTTGCCAAGGTTGAGAACCCCTGCTCTATAGTGCTCTGAGCTGGGAGATGGCTGGCTAAGCGTCCATCAATTCGCACCTCCCTTCGGAGAGATTCTCCTCTCCCGCCCCAAAGCCAGACTGTCAGGGCTCTCGCTCCTTTACCCGCTCCTCCGCTTCGGGAGGACTTTCCAGCCACGGGCGGCTCTGGAGTTCCCTACCTTTCTTTTCTCCTCTTTGGGTCTCCGCCTTCTTCTTTCCTTCCAGCAGGCGCCCCGTTCCATCCCAGCCAAGTAGAAGAGCGGAAAGCAGCCGAGGCATCTCTCTCTCTCTCCGCCCACCCCCTTCCTTCCAGCTACGTTTGCAGCTTTCCTTCGCCTCCCTTCTGGCTTTCGTTCCCTCGAATCCCGCTCGGGATTCGGCCATGCTCTCCTCCGCTCTCCTCCTCCTCCTCGCTGGAAGCTGCGGCTGCTTCTCTCCAGGGTCGAGCCAGGTGGCCCCTTTCGACTTGCTCTACGCGGACGGGGTGCGGGCGTACTTCGCCCAGGACTGGCCTCGGGCCTCCGAGCTGCTCCAGCGCTCCATCCACGGCTATTGGCAGCTGCAGGAGGCGCGCCGAAAGTGCCGAGGCGGATGCCAGAGGGAAGCCTGTTTTAGGAGCCCGTCGCCTTTCCAGCCGTGGGAGACCAGTTTCTTTGACCGGGTGCTGCAGCGAGCGGAATGCCTGGAGGAATGTCTGGGACGGAGGCTGGGCGGGCAGCCGTCCCGCTACCGAGCCAGCCGCGTCATCCAACAGGACTTTGAAGAGAGGGAGCCCTACAATTATTTGCAAGTTGCCTTCTTCAAGGTGAGCGGTGGGGAGGGGGGGGGGCGGGACCCTCCGTGTGCTGCAGCTGCTGATGTGGCCGCCCGTCCTCGGCCACCCTCTTCCACGTCCGCCACAAGAGCAGCGCAACAGTTACCCCCCCCCGCCCCCACCCCCACCCCAGACCGTCCAACCCTCACCAAAGTATTAGCATACATCAAATATCTTCCTCAACTCCAAGGAAGCGCTTAAATTTTCCTGCAGAGATTCTCATGGCTTTGAATTTCAACGTCCTTTATCCGTCCAGTTTTTAGTACATTCTTTGCATTAAAATGGTATTTCTGATACATCCTTAGAGATGGGTTGAGAGGGACAGGTCTAAAGTCCTGAAGTCATCTGTTGGGTTCAAGCTCTATTGGAGACTCCTGAGAGATAGAGGGCAGGACCACCAAACTTTATTTTCATTGCATCTATATTTTTGTTTCATTTTTTTTTTCTCATTGAAATCAGTAATCCAGTCAGTGAATTCCATTGATAGAACTTGCACAAATTCCTGACATCAGATTTTAATTACTTTGTACTGCTGTCTTGCATGAAATGCTGATCCAGCTGTTGGTTTCAAATGTTGGGTTTAAAAAACCCTGGTTAGGAGGGCCATTTCAAAAGGAAAGAACTAACCTCGAGGATCCTAATTCAGAATTCGTGAGATACACTATGTGGAATGAACAATAATTTGATAGCCAATGAGCTATGAGCAAGAAAATGTTGGTTTAGCATTGCTTTTGCTACTGATGTTGTTACATTTATACTGCTTTTTTGTTTTGTTTGTGATGACAAAATAGTTGGGTGGTGTAATGATTTATGAGAAAACACTACATCAATCAGCAAAATGTCTCCGGCTGACCTGCTGTTGGCGTTCTACTTGGGGACCATGTTAGCAAAGCTGAGCCTACAGGGTGAAAGGTTGGAGATCTTGAAACTTCCTTTCCGTTTGGGTTTTATACATCATAACTCCATTTTCTGCCTTGCCCTTGAAGCTTGTTAGACTACTGTCTTTCTTCCAAGGGTAAGGGAGGATCAGTTGGCATCCATTGCTATCTAAGACCGAGAGGCTTCCAACAGTCAGTTGCTTTCTTGACAAATTAAAAGGAAAAAAAGAAGAAAAATGAAGGGGAAAATAAATTCCATAGAGAGTCCTATAGCTACGGTATGTAGTATTGAGGCTAGGAAAATCAGTCCTTTTCAGGTGTATTTTTTTTTTTTTTTTTGTGGGATAGACCAATTTCACAAGAGATACATAAAAACAAACTTTGCTTTTAAAAAAAGAAAAGAATGTATGAATCCCGTCTAGTTTCAAGTAGCAGAGCAAATAAAACTATTCAATTGTTCAAGTCAGAGATTGCAATTTAAAAGGATTTCCTATTGAAAATTATAAAGAAAATTAACAAATTCTGCCAAACTACAAGATGATGTTGGTTTTCTCCTAATTTAGAGATAGTATTGCTATAAAGAGGTTCAAAGTTCCATAAAACATGCGGTTACTGATCTGTACAGAGAAATTCCAGAGAAACACCTTAGACTTAAACACATAGAATGTAAAAATATGATTCTAAATTTAACACTGTCTAGATTTTACCTGTTTCAGAATAACCTGATTTTCAGAATAATAGTCCTCAACTTGGCTTATTTGATGGTGGTTGTGTTGTTGTTGAGCTTTTTGTAGCTAGTTTTAATTTTTTTAATTGGTAAATTGAGAAGACTCCTCTCAATTTCTCAACTTTGTGGTGACTCCTTGTTCCTCTGTTTCCTTAGAGTTCTCCCTCTAGTTTTTAAAAGAGCATTTTTTTCCACTCTTAAGTGGGGAGGGGCTATGATGATTAGGCTTTATAATTCTAATCATCATAGCCCCTCCCACTTAGGTTGGAAAAATAAATAAAACTGCCTGCTGTACATGTCAGAAAAGTACCTATCAGTGTTAATAATGTGGATTCAACCCAGATGCTACATAACTGTCAATGCACGTGGGAGGGGATTTCCTGCAGATTGACTACACAGAATAAGGATTTTTAAAATCAAATTGAGACTGTGTATTATAGTTGTGTGCATGTGTGTGTGTGTCTGTATGTCTATGTGTACATACATGCACGTACACACACATGCTAATTATAACCTGAATTATGATATAATAAACATTATTTCACAGATACTTTAGTTGATAGTTTTATCACTGGGGCCAAAAGATCCAACCAGAGGGACTGCTGGATTCCTTTTTACCTCCTTGCTCCCAAACTGAGATGATCCCCTCGTATTCTACATTCAGTCAAAAAGGATTTTATTTTCTATTTTCAACAGTTAAAAAAACTGGATGAAGCTGTCTCTTCGGCTCATACATTCTTCGTAGCCAATCCACAGCACCTACAAATGCGTGAGGATATGGAGAAATACCAGCGCATGGCAGGGGTAAAATCCGAAAGTTTTCGGGATCTGGAGGCTCAACCACATTGGGTGAGATACTTTTGGAAAACTGGATCTTATAGAAGAAGGGTTACTGTGTAGAGATTGGGAGTCCTGATTCTAAAGACCTAAGAGTATGTTGACTCTCATAGATAAGTGTGCTTGTTTTCTAAGGGGTCATAAAATATTGTCCTCCTATATGTTTTTCTCATATTTCTTCTGCAATTTCTCAGAACAGAACTGCAGCATAAAACTTCATCTGTAAATTTAAACAAGCAGAACAATAAAAACAGGCCTGCAAAAATTAGGAAAACCTGCTGATGTGTAAAACAAGGTTTAAATGTGCCATATTGTTACTACTTGTTTCTTTCTAGTTGGCTTCATTGTGGTCTCTTCTTTTTAAATTTTAAATTTGCCTTAACCCTCTTTAAACTATTTTTTATTATACTTCTGCAATAGTCACAAATGTAACAAATATTTAGCAGAAATCTGACAACTGTTTTTTAAAAAAACCAAACTGCTTTTTTGGGGTTGAATGGTAATTGATCTCTAGAAGTGATGTTTTTGCTTGTATCCAATTTTTTTCCTTTAAAAAAACTTTAAAAATGTGTTTTTAAATTATTGTTGTAATCATAGAGCAGGATTTAAATTATACAAATGCTTAGCGGGCAAAGCAAAAAATATTTTTAAAAAATGATCTGAAAATTTTGGGAGATAATATGCTCTGCTGAACCATCACAGCAGCAGGCAAAACATAGCAGCGCGCTCACTTGTCGTGGGGGGGGGGGATGCTGCAAAGGTGATCAGTGCTAGGATCAGTTGCAAGTCATTCTTTCAATGCTGTGATAAGTTCGAATGGTCGCTAAAGGAAGGTAAGCTGAGGGCTACTTATACTCCTGAGTGGACAATTGTACTATTCTTTGGGCTCAGTAGTCTCTATCTGCACAATCCTTAGACTTTAATCAAGGTGGCTTGGTTCTCTGACTCTGCAGGCAGCTTATGAAGCTGGGATGCATCATTACGGTATGGATGACTACCAACAGGCAGCAGCCAAACTGGAAGAATCGCTCAGAGAGGGGTTGCTGGCATTGGAGAATTGCAGAGCTCTTTGTGAAGGGCGCCGAGAAGATGAGGACAACAAGGAAGAAACACAACTAGGCCTCTATGAAAGCATAGCAGGTATCATCAAAGATTTAGTAAAGTATGATGAGTTGTGTGAGCTGGCAAGTATATGAAAAACCATAAGGCATTGTCTGAAAGACACATCTTTTTTTAAAAGAGATGTGCAGATCTTCAAAGGAATATCTCACTTTGACAAAAGATTGAGCAGAATATCCTTTTGAAGCTATTTTGCAAAGCAGTGTAGCCTTTTGCTTCTGAGGGCTTCCTTTGGGAATAACCAAAGTGAACTGAGTATTGGAACTACTGTACAAAGCTTTGAGGTGATGCAAAATACTTCATTGAGGAAATCCTGTAGCCTGTTTATCAAGGTGAGAAAAATGATTTACTGCAGAGTACAGCATGGTGGCTTTACAGAGGTCTAAAACAGAATACTGTTTGGCATATCTTAATGTTGAGTGTTCTTGGATATTCACCACATATTACTCTCCCAAAGTAGCTGTTTGTTGTTTCACTTGAGCATGACATGGGAGATCCAGGGAAAAGGTTTAAAAAAAAAATAGAAGCAGTTAGGTGAGATATAGCTCTTAATCAGTGAAATTGTACAGTTACTTTTTAGAAGAAATTGGTTAAATGGTATGATTAAATATTCAGGGTAAGATAGCAATGGATCTTGTTGTGGACTTATTAAAATTGATTAGAAAAAGAAACAACTGCCATTTTTTCATGTTCTCACAATAGCTATAATAACTTTTGCAAAAAATGGGGGGGGTGTTCCTAAAATTTGGAATCAGATATGGGAGAAAATTAAGTTTTGGCTACTTTTTAAAGAAAGTCATTGAAAAATTGGGAGTCTATGCTGAAATTTATGGGGATATCTATGACCATGTTCTCAATATTCAGTATGTCAAACAGTCTCTCCCAACCTCAGAAATTTAGGAAATGTCAGGAAGATATGATTACTTGATTGGATTTGTAAAGCTGCCAGGGCCTCTCATTACTGGTCTCCTACATCCTCCAAATGTTGCACTCCTTACAAATTGGAAATTCCTTCAGTTTTAAAAGGGGCCAATGAGAAGGGAAACATCTCAAACGAATGTATGACTCCAGGCTCTCAGGATTTTAAAAGGTATTTTGAGATGAGGAATCAAAAAATAGGTCTCAGAATAAGATCAATTTTGGAAGGTTTTCTCATTTGTACCAATAACAATAATCAAAAAGGTCTCCACTCTCCTAAGGAAAATTAGGAGAGGATTATTAGTCAATATCAGAATCCAGCACAAAATCCTTTCATACAAAAATTCTGGTTTGACTAGATCAGTGTTTCTCAACCTTGACAATTTTAAGGCATGTGGACTTCAACTCCCAGAATTCCACAGCCAGCATTGCTGGCTGTGGAATTCTGGGAGTTGAAGTCCACGTGCCTTAAAATTGTCAAGGTTGAGAAACATTGGACTAGATGAAAAACATTGTAAATGCTACCACTGAAAAGGGATATCCAGCTAACTGCTAACTAATTCAGCCACTGAATATGTTTCCTCAGGGATCTTTTCAATCTCCAGTCTCTGATCCACGCTCTCTGCCTTTTTCTATTTTGCATGACATGGAAGTCTTGATGCCTCCCTTGATTTACTAAAATTGAGATCATTTTCCTCCAGTCTTTGCTCACCTGAGTCTTTTTTTTCCTAAACAATAACAAACAACATAGCAATCTGCACTTAACTTGTATGGCAATCAGCACTACACAAGTTGTCATATTGCCCAAAGCCAAAACAATCTAGATAGGCCAACAAGACAATTACTCAGATTTTGAAATAAAATATCACATTCAATTCAATCTACGTATTTTAAATTAACATGCATTACTTGAATGGTGAGATAAGAGGCACAGAAAATGTAGGAACCTTAGCAATACTTGTTCCAGCTGTTTCTGTAGTTGTGATGCCAAAGCCCCCTTGTGTTTCTCTTTCTTTCTTTCCAGCTCATTATGTCCAGGTCTTGAAATGCAGGCAACAGTGTGTCCTTGATATTGCCACCAAGCCAGGCAGGGTGTCTTCCATAGAAGATTTCATCCCATCTCATTTTGATTTATTGCAATTTGCCTACGACAGAGGTAAGCAGGAAATGAACAGCTGAGAAGTTCATGTAAGACAATAGGGTGAAGTTTTGCCAGAATGGCAGACAGAAGAAACATTATGATGAAGACCATTTTCTTTCTTTTAGTTGGAAATCGGACTGTTGCTGCTGAATGTGCAGCTACCTTCCTGCTATTCTATCCATCAGATGAAAAAATGCTGGAAAGATTGAAAGTGTACCAAGCAGACCTGGGAAAAGAAATAGCTATTCCAGCCAGAGAGGTAGCCAGCAGCATTTTTCCTATCTGAAATCTTTCTCAGTTCTCTTTTGACAAATTAATAAAATTTCAGTGATAGTATCATAGAGTTGGAAGAGGACTTGGAGGTCCCACTAAAACATCCCTGAAAGATGACTATCTAGCCTTTTTTACTGCTATTCCACTGCTGAACTCCATGTATTCGTGAGTTCCTCCTGATGACTAGCTGAAACCTTCATTCACTGGTTCTGTTCCAGCCCTCTGGGCAATAGAGAATAAGTCAACTCTCTCATAGAGTCAAGATCACGTGAAGTATTAATACCACTCTACAAGCCTTGGTAAGGCCACACTTGGAATACTGCATCCAGTTTTGGTCACCACGATGTAAAAAAGATGTTGAGACTCTAGAAAGAGTACAGAGAAGAGCAACAAAGATGATTAGGAGACTGGAGGCTAAAACATATGAGGAACGGTTGCTGGAATTGGGTATGTCTAGTTTAATTAAGAGAAGGACGAAGGGGGGACATGATAGCAGTGTTCCAATATCTCAGGGGCTGCTACAAAGAAGAGGGAGTCTTCCCTCCCTATTCTCCAAAGCACCTAAAGGCAGGACAAGAAGCAACGGGTGGAAACTAATCAAGGAGAGAAGTAACCTAGAACTGAGGAGAAACTTCCTGACAGTTAGAACAATTAACCAGTGGAATAACCTGCCTCCAGAAGCGGTGAATGCTCCAACACTGGAAGTTTTTAAGAAGAGACTGGACAGCCATTTGTCTGAAATGGTATAGGGTTACCTGCCTGAGCTTGATGACCTCTAAGGTCCCTTCCAACATTATTATTATTATTATTATTATTATTATTATTATTATTATTATTATTATTATCATCATCATCATCATCATCCGTGTGATAACCCTTCAGATATTTGAAGACTGTTATTGTATCTTTCCTTAAATATTTTTCTATAGATAAAATGTACTTACAATTCTTTAAAAGTTCCTCATAGAGTTTGGTTTCCAGACTCTTTACCATCTTGATAGTCATATTCCATACTTACTTTGATTTCACAATCCTTTTTGAATTGTGGGATCCAGAACTGAATACAACTTTCCAAATGGGGACTTACCAAGGCCCCATAGAGTGAAACAATTACTTCCTATCATCTGGACTCTGTGCTACTGTTAATAACATCCCAAGGTAGCATTTGCCTTTTAGCAGCTGCACCATGCTATAGATTCATGTTTAATATGTGTTCAAAGGGACACCCAGGTCACTTCCATATGTACTACTGCCAATCAATTTTTCTTCCACTCTATAGTGCTTTGCATTTTTTTTTTTTACCAAGATAAAGGACCTGATATTTCTCCCTACTAAGTTTAATCCTATTCATTTCAACCCACTCTTTAAGTCTGTCTAGCTCTATTAACATCTTCACTCCTTCATTTAAAATATTAATAATCCTTCCCATCTGCACATTTTGTAAGTGTCCTGTCAGTTACTCATCCAAGTGTCTGATAAAAATATTGAACACTACAGGATTGGACTCTGTGGTACTCCTCTCCATATTTCCTTCCATAAATTGAAGCAAGCCACTATGGTAACAAGTTCTCATTGGGTGCAGTCATTCAACTGTGAATTCATTTTAGCAGTTGTATTAGAAGTACCGTAGTCTTTGCTATAACCATGTATTAATATATAAATTAAACAATAACATGATTAGAATTTTATCTACCAACACTCATTGCTCTGTATCCATTCCTCTCTGTGCCAGTAACAGAGCTATCATTCATAATCCAAATGGGTTTATGTAGATGCCTTAAAGCATTATCTTACTATTGCCATAGGGAATACCTTGAAATGAATTACTCTAAAACAAAGGTTTTAATATTCTCCAGTGTTTCAAGCACTCAGTTAAGTGGATGATTAATGATAGATCTACAGTACTGAACAAATCATGACTTTTAAATGCCCAGGCATCCACTTTCAATCATCTACTTGCTGGATCAATCAAGCAAAGGACCTTTTATATAAGCCCCCAAAGCATCCTTGCAATTATTAAATATGCATCAGTACAATAACAACTATATTCAAGGCTACAGTACTAGGTTCAGTATATGGCATTCAGTTATAAGGATGCTTCTAGGTTAGAAGCTATCCAATCCCAATTTTTAAAGCTATACCCCAGGATCCTTTTCTTTTGTTTCTTTTCCAGCATTAGCATTACAAATTGGCAAATTATCTATAAGAGCAAAAACAGATAGATAATATCCTGTATGAAAATCACACTGGGATATGTTTAGATATAGAAGTTGAATCTGTTCCATATGCACTGCCACACTGCCTTGTTTGAAATAAATGAAGGATAGAACTCATGACACCAATAATTAGAAATCTTAATTACTCCTCTGAGCAGGAGCTGATCATTCTACCCCTAGGGTAATCAAAGTTTAGTTATTTCCAGTGGTTGGATTCAAATATATGAACTGGTTCTCTGTGTGGATGCCACTTTTGGAAGTCCATTCTGGGCCTGGGCAACAAATAATTAGCTACCAGTTCTGCCACCATTAGTTATTTCCAATAAGACTGCTGATGTTTTAACAACAGCCGTGGTTTGCAAAGATCATCTTTTATACTATTAATTTCTGTATAAGTTCTGTTGTACAGAATATATAATATTTAATGTGTTATAATGTTGTCTTCTTTTAAATATTGGTCTGCAATAAGTTCCTCAGAGTGAATGGCAAGAAATTAAGATAGTTCCCAATGAATGAATCATTAGAACAAAGATTAGGCACACAGATTAAAGTGTTTCCAGCTCATCTTTAGCCCATTACCCATAATCCCTCTGGCAAGGAATCTGTGGGCCCTTAACAGTCTCTTCCTTCTTTCTCTGATGCTCACACAATTTGATGACCATGAGTCAACTTTGTTTAGCTGGCAAGCAGCTGCTTTTACTTGGGAAAAAAATGAGCTCTTACTCGTTTCAATCTATCGCAGACCCATCTCTTTGATTCCCTGAGGTGCAAAACTTGGTGTTAATTTGGGGCACTGACTTTTCTGAAATCTAAGATGACAGTTATAAATATTTTTTCTCCCTTGCCCTCTGGATGTTCTATTACTGCTGTTTGACCCAAGTTGCTGTTGACTAGCAGCTTCCCTTCAGGGGCAAGTAACAAATGCAAGGATGGCTGTAGCATAGGGTGGCATTAATCCCTGTCTCTGCCTCTGCCATGACTGGGACCAGAAGACAGAAATGTGAAGTTCACATTAAATATAATATCTAGTTCCATGGTGACGAACGTATGGCATGCGTGCCACAGGTGGCACACAGTGCCCTCTCTGTGGGCACGCGCACTATTGCCCCAGTCCTAGGCCTTCAGCTGGGTTTTATAAAACCTTTTCTCTTTAGGCCTCCACCGCCATGTGCAAAAAAAAAGAAGGTTCAATCAAGCAATCAATTTCAACTTCTTGCGGGGAAAAAAAAGATCTCGCAAAGTTGGAATTGATTGATTGAATTTTTTAGTCCCACCCAGTCTGCCATTACCACTGCAGCCATGCCCACCCAATGGGCCACGCCCACCCGGCACCTGACAATACATAAGTGGGTTTTGGATTGCAGTTTGGGCACTTGGTGTCTAAAAGGTTCACCATCACTGATCTAGTTTGACCTGAAGGCTGGATTGATTGCCTGCAGCAGAGATGGTTGTATGTGTTTTGTGTCTTGTTTTCTTGAACAAGAAACACTCAAACCATTTATGATTTTTGTATATTATTTTATATTGCAGTGCTGTAACATCTGCTTTCAATCCACAGAATATCCGCCATTATGTGCAAAGATCCTGTATGGAAAAGAAATTGATCTATTATGCAGTACAACACTTTGATGAAACTTTTAAGGATCCAGTAAGTGATTGTCTTTTCTTTGAAGGTAGATTCTTCATGGCCTCTTTGCCACAAAACTATTTATTGATCTCATCTATCAAATACTGCTTGATGAAATAGTACATAGGATCCTCTTTCTATTCTTCTTTTCTGAACTGAAAGAAATTATGCTTTAAGGACATACGTTCATTTATTATAAGCCTTTTTCAGCCAACGTCCTCTAAGTCTGTCAGGGCAATATACAAGAAGCATAACACCCCAAATATGCCATATTACAACACAACAAAATCCTAAAACAATACCAAACTAAAATAAATCAGAAGAATGCTAATCATACACCAAAGTAAACATAAATCAGCATAGAATTTTAAAATGCGTGTCAAATAGAGGTCTTTAAAATGATAGCATTTTAATGCCAGTCTAGTATCTATGGAAAAAGTGTTTCAAAGGTGGTGTGTTGGCCATAATAAAGGTGCTAATTATAGATGGAAATGTTTCTAAAAAACTGTTACTGATTGTGTGGGAAGAAGCACACTGCTTGTAGAACTACAGGAAACTGGACAGATGATATTTTTTTTTCTCAGTCTGCTGAAGTTTCACAAATATTTCTGCCATGTGGAATAGCCAGAAAGTAGGACACATGTGCCTGCTGTGGTGAGGAAGTGTCTGTGCAATTTATTTATTTATTTATGAGACTTATATACCGCTTTAAGTGCAAGCATTCTCTAAGCAGTGTACACCAGTAAGCAATGTATATATATATTTACATTGCCCCCAACAATCTGGGTCCTCATTTTACCTACCCCGGAAGGATGGAAGGCTGAGTCAACCTTGAGCCGGTGAGATTTGAACCACTAACCTGCTGAACACAGTCAGCTAAAGTGGCCTGCAGTACTGCACTCTAACTGCTGCGCCACCTCGGCAATCCTGTGAAAAAGAAAATGAATCAATAAACTTAATTTTGTAGTGCTAAGTCCTGGATGTGTTTTTTTTAGGATTTATGGACTCCTGAGGAACTGATCCCTGAAAGCATGAAGGAGAAACACAAGTAAGTTTCAGACCAGAAATGTAAAACATGGATGCAGTTCTAGGATACCTTAATGAAAGGCAATGATTCAGCTCTATCAGGAAAGGTTTTTTTAAAAGAGAACTTAAATGTAATGGAATAGAAATTATAAGTGATTTGATTTATTGCTGAGCTATTTAATTGTGGAGACAGTCTCATGCCCTGTAGTTATGGCCTCTTCTATATTTGTTTATTAATCCCAAGAGAAGATCAAGAGAAACGAAGCTTGAAGGCCTCACATATGCAACAATGGGATCAAAATGGTGAGTACAAGAAAAAGAAATGATAAATGGGAAGAAAGATTATTATGTTTCTTCTTCTTATCATAATGAGAGAAGAGGGAGATTCCAGTAGGATGACTCCACAGTTTCTCCTAAAGGTGAGATGTAGTAAGTCTCCTTCCCAGTACTTAGGTTCACCTGCTAAAGCCTGGGATTGTTTGGGATTCCATTTTTACTAGCTATAATAGAGACCCAAAGGGATGGCAAAGGTATAGAAATTATTTCAGCACCAAAGATGCATTCAGAGTACCTATTTGGCATTGAGGCAGATCAACAATAGGATGGCCATAGCTTCTCCTCCTCAGAGGACTGTCCTAAGTTTGGATGTAAGTCAATAAATCCTAGTTCAAATAAAGTGCAGTCATTCCCATCTTATTACCTTTCAGATATGTTGATATACAATTTCCATCATGCTGATTAAGGATGGCAGGTGCCATAATTCACCATATTTGGAAGTATTGGCCTGGGTAGGCAGAAAGGAGAAAATAGGTTTGAAGCTGGACAGCAGCCTGATATCACTGGGTCAGCTGTGATAAGATGCATTATATTTATGTTTAAATTACTATAGTGATTCCTAAATTTGCATCTATTCAAAAGATTCATTTGTCAACTCTTTGTGTTAGTGTGTGCTGTGCCATTTGTGTGTGTGTGTGTGTGTGAGAGAGAGAGAGATGTATTCTCTATCTAAGTAACCCTTGATTTATGACTATAATGGTGCCTGAGTCAAGAGTGGTGAATGTTGTAAGAGCCTTTACCTCAGTTATTCCAAGACTTTGGAGTTATATCACGAATGAGACCATAGCAGCTATGATTTTACAGTGATTTTTAAAATCTATCTATTTTGAAATATCAATGGTTGCTAAGTGGACTATGGCCCTGGGTAATAGCTGCTGTTGATTCTATTAATTGGATATCTGTTTTTAATTTATCTATATCAAGGTACCTATGACAACAGTTGTGTCAGTAATATAGTTATAAGCTTTGTATCAGACCATTCCATTCCTTGCCTCTGAATTCTGAAACTGATGGATAATGACAGCCTAGGGGTCCATTTTTGGTATCAGCTTCCAAAGAATAATTTGCAAGTGAGGATTGTTTAGTGTCATGGAGTCTTTCAAAGTCCCTTATGCAGATACCAATTATAACATAAGAAGGGCACATATATGTTCAGAGATTGTAAATTAGAGCATACAGGTAGTCCTCGATTTACAACAGTTCATTTAGTGACCGTTCAAAGTTACAACACCACTGAAATAAGTGACTTATGACCTTTTTGCACACTTGACAACTGTTGCAGCATCTCTATGGTCACGTGATCAAAATTCAGCCGCTTGGCAACTGACTCATATTTATGATGAAGATTTCATCTTATCAACAAAGTTTTGGGCTCAGTTGTGGTCGTAAGTTGAGGACCGCCTGTATTTCTTCCTTTGTACTCATGATGAACAGTAATATTTGATGGCATCTCTATATACTGTACACTTCTGCCCTGCTTATTTTTCCAGAGTCACTGCCTTTTGAGGACATCACCATCACCATGGATTCCCACCAACTCAATGGTTCCCAAAGGGTTGTCTTTGACAGAGTCCTGACTGAATCAGAATGCAAAGACATCCTTCGTCTGTCCAAGGTGAGGATAGGAGCCAGCAAATACTCTGCATGATCCTGTATAACAGAAACAGAAGCTTTGCACTGGTGAAGGGCAATATCAGATCTCTCATATGTTTGTGCGTGTTTCAGGCAGCTGGAGGAAAAGGAGATGGCTATCGTGGCAGACGTTCCCCTCATACTCCTCATGAGCGATTCGAAGGCTTAACAGTGACAAAAGCTTTGCAGGTAAAAGCCTTAGTGATTTTAGAATGAGCTAAGTTCTTGGTCCCGCAGGACTTTTTTTCCCATTCACAGACTCTAGACATAAACATACATTACAAAGTTAATATTAAAGACAGATAGGACACAGACTCATCTTCCTCTTCCTTTTCCTAAAATTTAAACTGTATATATTATGCAAATAAACGTAAAAAGATTTCTAGTTGCTGTTTTCTTGGGAAAGGGATAGTGCAAGTCTCAACTAAGAAATGGTAAACAAATGCTTAACTTTTCCTTCTTTCTGAAACAAAGCAAAATGACTCTGTGAATCATATTTGGACTCTTTTTACATAAGATTCCAAATATGCATATATAATTAATTTGGACCACCTCATAGAGAAAGCAGAATGGGAGATAGGATTAGAATCAGCTGAAAAAGAGATCAGGAAGGATCAAATATACCGTGTGTAAAACAATACAAAACTTGTTTCATTTTCTATTTTTCTTTTATTGACCAAACAAAATATGGTTAAAAATTAAGAAATATAAAATTAAAAGGGAAAATAAGATAGTAATAAAAAAGCAAATTAAAAAGTAAATTAAATTAAACCTTGGGAACATGGTTCTGCTGTGTGTATGGCCATATCCATGCAGCAAACACATCTTGGCACTTGTTTTCAGAGTCCATATCGTTCATCCTTTACCTCCAGTGTTTCTCAACCTTGACAATTTTAAGGCATGTGGACTTCAGCTCCCAGAATTCCACAGCCAGGAGCTGAAGCCCACATGCCTTAAAATTGTCAAGGTTGAGAAACACTGCTTTACCTCGGAAGATCTCAAGATCAGCCTGCAGCTAGAGCAGCCTTTCTGGTCCTTCCCTCCAAAAGATGTATTTTCCCTCTAATCCCAGCTCAAGATTTTCCATTGGACAATGCATGGTGCAGGAAGGAGGAGGAGGAGGAGGAGGAGGAGGAGGAGAAAGGTTGAAATAACCTGGTTGGGGGTGATTATCTACTCAACCCTAATTGGCCCAACAAGTCTGCTGTGAAACCACCCCTTTCTGTCTGTTCTCTGGGTTTTCTACCTATTTTGCAGTCCTGGTTTGCCTAAAGAGAGACCCAGAGAACAATTACTACCTTTGCTCCCAAGAGTGAATTATTATGCATCTCTAAGTCTGAATGCATTGGGAAAAGACCCTGATGTTGGTAAAGGTTGAAGGCAAAAAGAAAGGGGGGGACAGCTGAGGATAAGATGGCTAAATAATGTCATTGATGCAATTAACATGAATTTCAGCAAACTTTGGGAGACAGCGGGGGGGCGGGGGGGCTGGCATCTATGGTCCACGGGGTCACAACTTAGTGACTAAACAACAAAAAATCTGCATGCATTCATTTTATGTTAGTGTGTACCAGGTCAGGTAGCCATTTTTTTTCCAAAAAATGATGAAATAAAAGAATTTAAAGGCATTTTATGACCATTGATGGAATCTTACATACATTTGTATTTAATATCACTTATCAAGGAAGGGACCTAGGTTTTTTTTTTGTCTCTCGCATTACTGATAACTTGTAAAATAAATACACAATTAACTGACAGTCTAGGGCTGTAAGAAAATTGGCACCATCTGACTTGCCTCTCTGACTTGATGTAAGAGAAGCCAGGTCTTCCACCCTACTTTGTTAAGAATATTTGTAATGGGTCTGTCATGGTTCCGATAGATGAGAGCAGTAGAAATAAGAACTCCAAGGCTGTCAACTTTCAAACGAACGTGGCTGGGTCTTTATCAATTTTCTTTTCGATCTTCCTGAAATTTAATACAAATTAAGTATTGCACTGATTTGTTTTTCTCTTGTAGCTGGCTGAGGAGAGTAGTATGAACTGGAAAGATATTAAACTTCTCCTGAAAGCCAGTGAGAAATCCCAGAAAATTGTGGAATCCTATTTTACCCCTGGGAAAAAACTCTATTTTTCTTTCACACACCTTGTGTGTCGCACAGCTGCAGACGGTAAGGAACTTTTAAGTACTTTCTTGAGACTTGCAATGTAAGAGCTTCATGTTTATAATGGACAATTTGTAATGCATCTCATTCTAATCTGTAACATGGTATTGCTGGTAAATTTATTGTAAAAATTATCTATATCAATTGAAGAAATAAGAAAGAAAAATAATGTAGTCTATTCATATGGAATGGGTAGCAAACATAGGTTTGGTTATATAACTTTGGCAAATGCATATTTATTAATAAAGCAGTGAATATCAGAACCAAAAACATTTCTAGGGATATTCAAAAAATGCAACTTTCTCATGCTTTAGTTCATGAGCAAAATTTCAAATATGAATTCTGATTTTTGAGCTGAAAATTAAAAATCCACTGTTTTATGACATTAAGATTATGATTTGATTTTAAAGCATATATCAAATACAAAGTCACATAAACTCACATCCACTAAATCATAGGGGTCAAACTCGATCATGTCACATGACATATCGTGAGGTATCACGACATTTTTTGCCTTTGCGGAGCCGGGGTGGGTGTGGCCTGCGTGTGATGCGTCCAGCCCATGGGCCGCTAGTTTGACACCCCTGCACTAAATACACCTTTTTCAATCCAGGAAGAGAAACTCATATACATATAAAGTAGTCTTGTATTGTCATTGTGGGCTGTGCTCTAGATTGGCTCCCATTTATTTATTCAGTACTACAATGTCTGCATATTTGACAACTGGGGTTATTCTTAATAGGCATATTCATGAATTCAGTACAATACAGGCTGTGTTGATGAAAAAGTGCTACATATAATTATGTATAACATTGTAATTGCAAGAGAAATTGGTAAAGAATGTATGGTCATATATATTTTATCCTTTGAATTTATAGGATGGGTGCCTGATAGACACTATAGTTTAGTTTCACAATTGCAGGGCAAGTAAAAAAGTTATGGTGCCATTTCATATTTTCATTTTTAGAAGTTTAAAATCTGCTAATTGTACATGTACATGTGTACCGGTGAAGGAAGGCAGGTTTAAAAATATAGTGTGGTCAATGAGAATGATGCTTCCCAAAACATACACAGTGAAAACTAGTCTCCATTAAAACAATGTTAAGAAAACTGTGGATTTTCTGCCATCAAATCCTGAGATCAAAGGAAAGTATAGAAGAAAGAATTGCTAAACTAATCCTCCATCTTGAAAACACTAAATCCACCACAGTGAAATACTCAAGAGTCGTGGTGGCGCTGTAAATAGAATGCAGTATTGCAGGCTAATTCGGTTAACTGCCAGCAGTTCGATTCTAAACTGTTCAAGGTTGACTCAGCCTTCCATCCTTCCAATAGGCTGACTCTGTAAGCCACTTAAAGAGGGCTGTAAACAGTGGTGGGATTCAGCCAATTCATACCAGTTTGGCAGAACCAGTAGCTAATTTTTTGTTGCCCAGGCCCAGAATGGACTTCCAGAAGCGGCATCCACACAGAGAACTGGTTGTTCACATATTTGAATCCCATCACTGGCTGTAAAGTACTATAAAGCAGTATATTAGCTATTGCTAATAAACTAAAGCATGGCTAGTGAGAGAGAGAGAAAGAGAGAGAGAGATGGAATAGCAAGAGAGAAATAGCTTTAGCAAAAAAAGTGGGGGGATGTATTGTCTGCTATATGTGTAAGTCAGATAAAGCAGTACTATGATAAGCTGGGTCTCTGCTTGAAACTGGGATTTTTCTAAGTCTCCTAAGTCATCCCTGCTGATATATTGAGAAGAATTTTGCTGGAGGAGAAATGGATAGCAATATACATTTTTTAAAAGTCTCAAAGCAGTTCCATCCTATTAGAATTATATCAGGCATACCCAGACGTGTTTCTTCAGAAAATAGGCAGTCCTTAACTGATGGCCACAGTTGGGACCAGTATTTCCATTGCTAACAAGGCGGTTGTTAACTGTGTCACACTCAATTTTATGACCTTTATTGCCATAGTTAGAGCAAATCACTGTAGTTGATTATGTGAATTACTCGGTTGTTAAGTGAATCCAGCTTTCCCCATTGACTTTATCAGAAATCAGCTGGGAGGCCATAAATGGTGATAACCCTGGGAAGTTGCATAAACACAGGCTGATTGTCAAGTGCCTGAATTTTGATCATGTGACTGTGGGGAGGCTGCAATGGTTATAAGTGTGCAGGCCAGTCATAAGGCATTTTTTTCAGTGCTATAGTAACTTTGAACAGTCACTAAATGAATGGCCGTAAGTCAAGGACCACCAATATTATGTACTGTAAATTCTGGAGTTGTAATCGGCCTTTGGGTTTCTTTTGCCTATTGAGCAATAAAATGCTGGTCAAGGGAACAAAACAGTTATGACTTTTGTGGTTCCTCCTTAGGAGAACAGGAAAGTCGCATGGATCTCAGCCATCCAGTCCATGCTGATAATTGCCTCTTGGACCCGGAAGAAAACACTTGCTGGAGAGAACCCCCTGCCTACATACACAGAGACTATAGGTAATAGTTTCAGAGTGAAAACTGATATACTGTATGTCTCATGCTGAGCACGCCGTACTTAAATTATTCAGATACACATTTCATTTATTTCTTTATGATTAACGATGGTAAATTTTAAACAGATTGCAAACCACATTCAGCAATTTGGAAGGGAGTTTATGTTGATTGGTTGAGGTGACCAATATGCCACTGAAACTGTTTAAGCTTCCAGCAGTTTATAATAATGTTGTAGTCATTAGCGGTTGCTTGGATACCAAAGTTAAGAAATTTATATTTCTTTTATTTCAAAACCATTTGAAGGACCCTCTTTTCCCAGTTAACATCTACCTGGTCCACCAAAATGGGAAGTCAGGACAAGTTGCAGGTCCCATCTACTAAGGAAATACATCTGGTGGGATCAAGAAAAAGGGCCTTCTCCATACTGGCTCCCTCCTTGTTGAACATCATCCCTGTGGAGATAGGATTGGTCCCACCCTTGTTACATTTCTGAAAGGCCCTGGAGGTTCTGTCAGCAGGCTTGGGTTTTTTAAAATTGTAGCTTTTTATTGTTCTGAATTCGCCGTGTGTAAGTTGGGTAGCCACATAAATTTGTTTAATAAATAAATAAATATTTATCAATATTATATGCTGTTGCTTTTAAAAGGAACTTGTTTTGGGATGGAAATATTGTAATTATGCTTATAAGGTAGCACAATTGCCATCATCTTGACCTTACGAACATACCCCAAAATAATACAGTGAAATCCAACCAAGTCCAACTCTTTAATGCAGGGGTCTCCAACCTGGGCAACTTTAAAGTTGTGGGCTTCAACTTCCAGAATTCCTCAGCCAAACCCTTGCAAATTTAATGTATTTGCTTACATCTAGTAGACAGAATCTTGCCAGTGGTGGGATTCAGCCGGTTCACACCACTTTTGGCAGAACTGGTAGCTAATTTTTTGTTGCCCAAGCCCAGAACAGACTTCCAGAAGTGGCATCCACACAGAGAACCGGTTGTTCACATATTTGAATCCCACCACTGCTTCTAACCTATACTGGAAGATATTAGGACAATGTTTTCCTAATTTGGCAACTTTAAGCTCTATGAATTTCAACTCCCAGAATCCCCCAGCCAGCCAGGAAATTCTAGGAATTGACGTCTGTACAGCTTAAAGTTGCCGAGGTTGAGAAACACTGTTCTAGAGTGTGGCTACCCTGAACCTCTTTCTCCCTCCCCCACCCAGTTCAGAACTACAGTTTTTTTTTATTTTGGATCTCTCTCTGGAATGTATGGCCTCCTTCCTGGAAAAACCACAGTGCTCTTGCCGAGACTCCCCCTTCTCCTCCTCCAAGTACACCTTCCATGACAATTGCCTCTCTCATTGCAGACATTGGTATGATGTCACTTATCATTATAGTCAAGAATCTACTTGCTGCTGTTCCGCACAGTTTCTTCCACCATAAGAAGTTTCTCCTTTTCCTTGTTAGCATCTAGACGAGCTGGGCAGGAGACATTACAGGGTTGAAAATCCAGTTTGAATGTACAAAGGGTTGTATTGACATGTTTTTCATTGCTTTTTCTGTCTTTTTATTTATCATGATAAAACTGTTAAAGAAAGATAGAAACATTTCAAAATGTTGTGAGTGCTCCATCACTGGAGGTTTTTAAGAAGGGATTGGGCAGCCATTTGTCCAGAATGGTATAGGGACTCCTGTTTGAGCAGGGGTTGGACTAGAAGACCTCCAAGGTCCCTTCTAACTCTTATTGTTTTGTGCTGGGCAGTGCTAGTGCTTTGGTTCCAACAGCTATTACCTTTTCTTCATGCTGCCATCTAGTGTCCAAAGGCAGTAGAGCACCTTTGTAATCTTGCTTTGCCTTCTCAATAGAGCAGACATGTCAAACACAAGACCGCAAAGTGGTTTCATGTGGCCTGCAAAGCCATCTTGGAAACAGTGAGGGAACGGCCCCCACTGCCTTGGGCCTGGCCCAGGCAGGCCGGGAGCCAATGTACAATTTTGTGGTGGCCATCTTGGCACTTGCCCCAGTGGACCATGCCTTGGCACTTGCCCCAGTCCCACCTTCTTCTGCCAGAGACCCTCAGATTTGTCCCACTCCTGCCCAGGCCCCCACAGCACCCTTGACGCGAATGATGTAGAACTGGCCATGCCCACCCAGTAGGCCACACCCACTCCATCCACGCGCATCCAGTAGGCTGCACCCACTTTGGCCACACCCACCCGGCCCCCCAAGGGCAACCGCAGTGCTGATGCGGCCCTCAGTGAAATTGAGTTTGACACCCCTGCAATAGAGAATGTTGATCCATGAATTCTTCATTTGACCATTCCTACACAGCTTTGAAAAGAAGTCTTCTGATATTATTCGCAACCTAGTTTATTTTATACATGAAGCTAATATGTAGGTTATTTACATTGTTCCTTTTGTTATCAATTAAATAATTAATAAGTACAAATTTATTGCAAATCTAGCAAAAGAGAAAGTTTGACCTTTTTTTCCATATCAAGCAGTTTACGGAAAGAAGAGCTCCCAAAACAGAATTTACACCAAAATTAAACTAATCTTTTACAGAACTTAGAAGTACGCCTTGTACGTGTCTCTCCACTAGCCTTGCATAAACTGCTACCCTCTAATCTTGTAGGAATGGTGGCACATACTGGGACTTACAGTCCTAAAATGGTTAGACTAAACACTTGGACCCAAATAAAATTGAAAACCCAAAAACATTTCTTCCTTCAAAGGGTGCACAATTTCATAGATTATGTGCAATTTTATAAAGCTATAGTCAGTGATGGGATTCAGCCAGTTCGCACCACTTTGGCAGAACCGATAGCTACTTTTTTTGTTACCCAGGCCCAGAATGGACTTCCGGAAGCAGTATCCACACAGAGAACCAGTTATTCACATATTTCAATCCCACCACTGGCTATAGTATAACACTTGACCAATATATTTGAAGTATTTTTTTTTCTGGCTTACGGTATTTTAAAGTATCTCTCTCTGTGTTTTTTTTTTTAAAAGGTAACCATTTTTAGTTTAAAAAAAGGTGTTTTAACAAAAAGAATGTTGTGGGTTCTTAAAAGGCTTACCAAATTTTTGTTGCCTAAATTCATATTATAATAATTTGTGTCACAAAAATCTATGTATTTTAACTGTACATTATAATCCAATAGTGAAAAAATTATCTAATAGTGTGATTTATCCAAGAAGAGAGATTTTCTGTTCCATATCATTTCTGGCTTTTAATAGGAAGAATTCAATACCTGCTCTCACCTTCTTTCTTTCTTTCTTTCTCTTTCTTTCTTTCTTTCTTTCTTTCTTTCTTTCTTTCTTTCTTTCTTTCTTTCTTTCTTTCTTTCTTTCTTTCTTTCTTTCTTTCTACCAGAGGGAAGCAGATGCCATAAATTCAACTGAGGTTCATTGGCCATTCTTAAATTGGAGCCATGGGGTAGGAAAGTGTCTGCTTCACTATCTAATGACAATTTCAGTATTTTTAAATTTAATTCTGAGCCAAATATTAGCTATACATATTGTTTTGCTCACTTAACAACCGCTTTGCTTAGCAACAGAAATTCTAGTCCCAATTGTGGTCAAAATTTGAGCAGTTCTGTATTTGTTGTTAGTTGCGAAGTCGTGTCTGACTCATCGCGACCCCATGGACAACGTTCCTCCAGACCTTCCTGTCCTCTACCATCTTCTGGAGTCCATTTAAGCTCATGCCTACTGCTTCAGTGACTCCCTCCAGCCATCTCATTCTCTGTCGTCCCCTTCTTCTATTGCCCTCAATCTTTCCCAGCATTAGGCTCTTCTCCAGTGAGTCCTTCCTTCTCATTAGGTGGCCAAAATACTTGAGTTTCTGTATAGAGAAATATTTTCAGTAAGTGATCTGGCAGGAGAATTTTGAAGAATTTTACCTGGCTTCTAAGCAATCATTTTAATGTTTGATGTAATTTCAGGAAGCACCCAGATACATTATTCTGTTGTAATCAGTGCAAATATTATTCTCCTTAGTAGGAATAACTCAGTCATAATGACTCTAATCAGCAAGTATGTGGGAGTTTCCTATTGCTTTGCTCTTACATGCTTTAGTCATATGGGACTGGGATGATATTCTTCACCCCTCCCTCCAAATTTAGTTATTCTGAGGAGGCTTATAGTAGCCTTGTTCGCCTCCTCGTGAACCTTATATGGTCTTTTCAAAACAGAATTCTAGAATTCCAAAATATTCTGAGCTTTTCTTCGTGACATTTGTTTCTATCTTACTCATCCAGGCTAAAACAAATACTGCTTGGTGCATGTATCAGCTGACAATCTACTGGGCAAACAATTCTTTTATCATTAAACTAGCAAAAGAAAAGAACTGAATTGCTGCCATGTATTTTGCTTCTTAGTCTGAAACTACAAAGAGATCTCTTGCTTTGCCATTCTTAGTTTTATAATTAGAGTAGAAGTGTACAGTGACGCTTTTTCCACGCTCAAGAGAGGAACAAGTTTAAGAGTGGTATCACCCTTGTGTATTCTTAATCAAACTATCTGCTCATTGGAAACTGAGCCGATTAACTCTGCAAATTAATTTGGCTTCTGTGTAAGAAGGAATAGCTGTGATTGTTGTTTTAGAGCCCTTCCTCTAGATTAGAGCTGCTGGCCAAGAGATGCATTCTGTTGGTAATAACGCCTACCTGGCCCTGCTCTGGGATTCCTATTGACTTGATGGTTCATTCTTCCTCTTCTTCCTCATCACAGGTAGCTTTGTTCCTCCCATACTAATGGCTGATTTCTTTTTTCCTCCCTCTTTTTCTCAACATAAGCAGCTAATACACCAAAGTGAAGAGCACAGCTGGGACTGCCTCTTGTTTCTGGTGCTCTCTATTGGCTAGCTAAAGGACAACTTGGGAATCCCTGCTAGAGGCTGCACAGCAGCATGAAAATATGTGGATGGAAGCCATTGGCTGTGTGGAAGGGATATGGGAATGAAAATGATTATAATGTCTTCTGATTCATACTGAGGAAGAGAACAGTGTAAGGCATGGCAGGAATCGATTCCTGCAGTCATTGACTGAGAGTGGATCAGTTCCACATTGCTGTTGGCTCTCCTCCAGAAGCTGATATGCTTGGAGTATTTTGAATTTTGGAATTTGGTTTTAATGTTTTTATTATTATTATTATTTTAAAAAGCTGTTTCTGCAAATGGAAGACCTGTTCAAAATGAACCTATGCTCATTTGTTCACAGTGTTTTGATTGAGAGAATGAGGAAGAGAGAGAGAGATTGGGTAGCACCCTAGGAAAGCTTAGGAGAGTAAAAGGAAAATCCTTGGAGAAATGTGACATGATAGGAAGGTAGAGAGAACAGCATATATTCTTTTTCTTCTGATGTAAGGTATTTCATTGAGTATGCTTTCTTCTTAGGTGTCCAGATTTAAATTAGTCCCTCATATTAATGCCTGCTGGTACATATAAGACACAATGGATATTTTTTGCAATAAAACATGTAACAGGAGTGGGTGGTATGGAAAATATTCATGCTGTAGTTCTGCAAATAACAAACAAGCAGTAAACATGAAATGTCAAAGACAGCTCACAAATAGACTAGCTTTGCTTTCAACTTACTGCTGACAACGAATGATGAGCACACACATAATACACACAGAGAGAACAGGAACAGAAAGTGGATCTGAGAGTTGCCACTGGCTCTGAATATAGATTAACCTTTTCTAATATCTTGGCATCCAGGCAGCCTGGCTGGGATTTGTAATGTAACGCAGTTGTAGGGCAGTGTTTCCCAAACTTGACAATTTTAAGGCATGTGGACTTCAACTCCCAGAATTCCACAGCCAGCATTGCTGGCTGTGGAATTCTGGGAGTTGAAGTCCACATGCCTTAAAATTGTCAAGTTTGGGAAACACTGTTGTAGGGGAACAGTTTGAAGAAGGCTGCTTCAGTCACACACATTTCCCTGAATAATATATTTGATCCTTATTAGAGACATCACGTTTTCCCAGGTGAACCTTCAAATCTGCTCTAGCAACATCCCATGTGGAAACGCTCTCCTAAAAGAATGTCAATCTCTGGCAATGTAAATACGAAGCTTGATTATTTAAGGTAAAGGAAGATTCATGGAAAACTGCTCAGGTACCTTTATCTTTCTTTATTTTCTCATTTCTCCACAGTGCAATCCTTTACCTGAATGAAGACTTCCAAGGGGGAAATCTCTTCTTCACTGAGATGGATGCTGTAACCGTTACAGTGAGTCTGCCTCAAGCCTTGAACATGGGATTAGAAGAGAAGGAAGGACAACTGGAACTGAATTCTCAGTATTTGTCCCTAATAAACTGAGCAATCAGGCAAATTCAGCCAAATTTTATGTTGGAAGATGCATTAACGTCTTCTGTACTGGGCTTGAGCAATTCTCTTCTTGTCTCCAAAAGAAGAAAATGTTTTCCCATCTATAGTATAACTCACAGTCATCGTAGGAGCTTGAGAAAAGAGAATTCTATGGCAAGGAAGGGGAGGACTGTTGATTTATCATTTTCCCCTCTCTCTTTGGCAGGCTCAAGTGCGCCCTAAATGCGGGAGGCTGGTGGCCTTCAGCTCTGGTGAAGAGAATCCTCATGGCGTGTGGGCCGTGACCCGTGGGAGGCGCTGTGCTATCGCCCTCTGGTATACCCTTTCTCCAGAGCATGCGGAGCAGGTAACCAAACAAGGAAGAGGGAGAAAGGGTGGAAAGGGACCCAAAGGCCATAGGCAAAATAAAAAAGTAAGGGCTGCCGATAAGGCTACAGTGAGGAAATGAAAGGACAGAAACATTGGATAAATTGCCAAGTGTCTTGAATGATGTTACATTGCTCCCCATAGAAATATGGAGAAAAGGTGATAGTAAGAAGGAGACCATCAAATGGTAAAGTGTTTTTCTATCAGGCTCCTCCTTACTTTTTCCACTTCCTATGTCAGTGGTGGCGAACCTATGGCATGCATGTCAGGTGGCACTCGGAGCCCTCTCTGTGGGCACATGCACACGCACCCTCACCCTAGCCCCACCTCCCCCCACGGCCCCCTCACCCGCAGGCCCCCCAGAGGAGAGTTGCCCACGGGCACAGCTTGTGCAGAGCAGCTCAGCCAAGGACATGGCAGCCAGGCAGCAGGGACAAGACTCCGCCCTGATGCCCCGTCACGTGCAGATGATGCTGCAGGGTGTGGGTGGAGGGCATGGCCACCATGGCACTGCAGTACCACCTGGGTGATCTGCTGCAGCGGGCTGTGGAGGCAGTGGGTGGCCCTATGAGTGGGTAGGGGTGGGTGGTGGGGCGGGGCAAGGCGGTTTTGGGGCACTCAGTCTCTAAAAGGTTCGCCATCATTGTCCTATGTTCTTTCTGGTTGTAGGAATGGGGCCAAGCAGAAAAGCTGATGAGACAGAAAGAGGCAGAACAGGAACAGTCACATAAAGAAGACACAGAAGACAACAATTCTGCATCTGACAGTGTGGATTCACCAGAGCCTCCTGCTCCAAAGGGAAGACCTAGATCCACAAGCCGAAAGATTAAATTGGACTCTGAGTCTGGGGTGAAGTCCAGGAGGCCGAGAGTCAGAGATGAATTCTGATCACATTGAGTGCAACCTGGTCCTTTGCAGTTGCTCTGAGTGACTTGTAAGCAGGCAGCTTGAGAACTTTTGCAACTCCTGAGTTAAAGAAGTCTGCATTGCTTCTTTATGACACACAAAGTATGGATCAGAGAGTGATACTTCTTGACTTCATCTACCATGGAAACCCGAATATCGTGGTGTCCCAGTAAAGATGCCAAGCGTGTAAACTAATGTAACATTATGGCTAAAACAGACTGAGACACAAATCTTCTGTTCAGGTGAGCCATATACACAGAGGCCACCAGGTCCTCTCCTTCAGAGGCCTCCATCTACAGCAGTGGTTCTCAACCTGTGGGTCGGGACCCCATTTGGGGTCGAACGACCATTTCACGGGGGTCGCCAAACAAGGCTGTCCGCCATTTTTTCCCCCTTTTCTTTGGCCACGCCCCTGGCACCCGGTGATGTATAAGTGGTTGGGGGTCACCACAACATGGGGAACTGTATTATGGGGTCACGGCATTAGAAAGGTTGAGAACCACTGATCTACAGTATAGACACAGTTAATACAGATCTATCTACGTTACAGGGCTCTTCTGAGGGGAACAGGGCTAATATAACATGTACTTGGATTACTTTTAAAGTGCTATGTTAATTTTAAATATCTTCCTTCCAGCTTTCACGATTGAAGGAATCAAAATTGGGGGAAAATAATATTCATTTGTGTGAGCTTTGGGATTGGATGCATGAAAACAGACAAGCCATACTAGACATCTGGAATACAAAAAGGGAAATGTACAGTTAAAGAATCTAGGGCAGTGTTTCTCAACCTTGACAATTTTAAGGCATGTGGACTTCAGCTCCCAGAATTCCACAGCCAGCATTGCTGGCTGTGGAATTCTGGGAGTTGAAGTCCACATGCCTTAAAATTGTCAAGGTTGAGAAACACTGCCCTAAATTATGTATGCCAAAACAGATTGGTACTCAAGTTTCAGGTAGTCTAATAATGTGCTTTTTAAAATCTTTTTTGTTAGCGAGTAGTATTCAGCACCCAATACTATATTCTACCCCCCACACACACACACACAATTGTCTGGGTTAGTAGAAAATATAAATTACTAGCAGAAACACAGACTCCAGAAATTTACATGTATTTGCACTGTTCAGTTTTGGTTTTGGAAGTAGAGGTTTTTTTTTCAAAGATTTTTTTTTAAAGCCAGAAAGTAAGTAGAATGCAAGTGAAACTGAGTTCAAAGTAAATATTATGAAAAGAGCAGCAGTGTAACTCTGGGAAGGTAATGGTTTGGATCAGATATAAAGCAGGTTGAAGATGATACAGTACTTTATTTTTCCAGCTATTTTTTCTTTGCATTTTCCATTGACTTCTGTGATCAAAAACATGTGGCTAGCAACATAGCAGAGAATGAGGAATTGTGAAGATTGGCGGTAGAGATGGGGGGGGGGAGAATAGGAAGAAGAGAGTTAAGGACCTCACATCGCTCCTGCCATTTTTCTATTATAATACTCCCTACCGTACCATTTCAGGCAACTAGTGAACCAGTTCCCAGATCCTGGCTTGCTTCTGAACAGCTGGTCTCACTAGGTTTCAGAAGGAAAAGATCTGTAGGAACAACAGTGAGGGGCAGAAAGGGGGGGGACAAACCCATTGTATGTTTGTTTAATTTATTTGTCGCCCATCTCTCCGTGGGGCTATTAAGAGCCATGGAATAGAAACACTGAACAACAATACCTGTAATATAGGGACAGCAGAGTACCGATTAGCAAAACTGTTTTAGAAAAAAGAGCTCACTCATTTCAGATGCCACTGTAAATACCACAGAAAGAAAACCTATTTGGAGGCAACCTTCACCACCTTTGTCTCTCAAAGAGTACTTCGGGATGATTTAGATAGTCTAAGTTGTCCAGCTAACCTGATAGATATTTTCTCCAAATGGCAGGCTTTTAAAAGGGTGTGTGTTTTTCCTTCAAGAATTTTGTTTCGCTGATGTAGGCAGTCTTTTAAATCCAGGTTAGGCTGGACATGGCCATTAAATAGGTATCAACAGATAATGCTTTGAGCCGTTTAAAGAACAAAAGGCAAAATCAACATCGTGAGTAATAATAATCGAGTATAAAAGTAATTAAAATGTAGGTTAAAATATCTAGTAGATATAGAACAGTGAATAGTTCTATCATTTGTAGTGAACTGAAATGGTTTGAAGGTTTTTCCTTGCTGTAATATATGCTTTTTGAAACACTACAAAAGCATTTAAAGATTGCAAAAACAATATAAATATATGGATCCCGCACACACTATTTTAACATTGAAAAACAGGTAGTTTTTGAGTTATGATCATAATAGAGCCTGCCCATTACAGTTGTAAATCATGACAGTCATAAATCAAGTCACCCACATGACCAACCTGATTTTGTGACCTTTTTTACGGTGGTTGTTAAGTGAGTAAATAGTTCATTACAGGCTGGTTTTGCCAAAAAAAACCCCAGAAGTAAGTGCCAGTTTTCAGCAAAACCACCATAAAACAAGGTCAGGTGACTGCAGGATGCTACAAATGTCAGTTCATGTAGGCTGCTTGCCCAGCACCTGAAGTGTGGTCACATGACTGTGGGGGGGGGGGGAAATGAAGGAAGGGAACTTAGAACATGAGTTGTAAGTACTCCCCAGCGAGGTCCATTGTAACTTTGAACAGTTGCTAAGCAATTGATCGTAAGTCGATTCCCTGACAGTATAGATAATAGCTATGTTTCTGTAAAGTGCTTAGTTACTGAACTGACCTGTTTTTTTAAGTTCAGAAAATATATCGAACACATAACATACAATGGGGATTTCCCCCATTGTTTAGTTGAAGTTATCTCCACCCATGCTTGAATGGCAGGAAAACTGGACTATACTGGATTGGCTGTCCCTGTAGCCTATCCTGCTTCTATTGCTTCTGTTCCAGATGTTGCCATCCCTCTGACTTCCCTCCAAAATTAAATACACCCAGGCCTCAGAGATTTAATTCATTTTCAAAGCTATCCATGGAATGTGTCGAAATAAGGTGGAAAATACTGTGTCAAACCCAGAAGAGGTAAGGATGACTTATGACTCACTCAAACGGTTGGGACAAGAAGAAGGCAACCTCAAAGGAATACATTAGAAAAAAGATGTTGCCAGGTCATGTTTGTGGCATTTTTAGATACAAATGGAGAAAGATCCTAAGTCATATGAAAACTAGTCAAGGGTAAACTATCAGACTCCAATGGTAGGAATACAGATGCCAGGCTGGTGAATAAACTGTGGACTGTATTGTTCAACTACACCATAGAGGCTTATGCAGGAATTCCTGGTACTTGAGGACATTTCAGTGCAACATGCAGCATTAACACAGACAAAAGAAAAGAACATTTTTACTTAAAAGAATTTAGGTTCCTGCAGTGGCAACCAAATCCTTATCTTCTTCTTTATGACATGTTTTCATACATAACAATGTCCTGCATTGAATGTATAGTACAGATCAAATAAAATGCTTTTCTGGAATAATCCCCCACCAGCACTAGGAATAGGGAGATTAGGCTGAATATGAGCTGCAGATGTAGTCGTTCAAATTATTTCTCAAATAAATGGAAATAGTAGCTAACCTCACACATTATTATTGCTAATGAAATTTGTGATATTTTTGACTGACAATTTCCTTCCAAAAACAAACTCGTGGAATTACATTACAGCTCCATATATCGCAGCTCAATCTCCTTTACGCATATGGCATTATTGTGCCTGGGTAAAACCAGCAAACCCAAACTGATGAATGTCTTATCATTCTGAACAACAGAATACTGTAACAGGTATGAGACACCTGCATTGTTGTTGGATGAAAAAAAAACAATCAAAAGCCCAAAGATTCTCCAAAGCACCAGAGGGCAAAACAAGAAACAATGACTGGAAACTGACCAAAGAGAGAAGCAACCTGGAATTAAGGAGAAAGTTCCTAACAGTGAGGACAATTAACCAGTGGGACAGCTTGCCTCCAGAAATCATGGGCACTCATCACTGGAGATTTTTAAGAAGAGAGTAGACAGTCATTTTTCTGAAATGGTATAGGTTCTCCTGCTTTAGCAGGAGGCTAGACTAGAAGACCTCCAAGGTCCCTTCCATATTCTATTCTATTCTATTCTATTCTATTCTATTCTATAGGATAAACCAATAAATAACCTTTCCATTCCCTTGTAAAGTTAGTACAAATTGAGTGAGAATAGAAAGAGAGTTGTAGATAATTACATTTGCTTTTTAGTAAAACAAACAATCTTGCCAGGAATTATTCAGGCTTTCATAGTCTGTACCTCTATTGGATCAGCCAGTTAAACAGAAGGAAAGACAAGAACTTCTGGATTGATTCCAGACTGGGATAAACAGAATCTACTGTTCCTGTGGGCAGGGTGAGGATTAGCATCTATTGATGGGATTATATTGTAACCCAATAGAAGCCAAGAAGGACAGAGGAAATTGTATCAAAGATAGCATTTGACGCCGTCCTTGGAAGACTTAGATCCAGGTGAGGAGAAGGTGATTCCAGTTACTTCATAAAAGACTTCCACTCTTTGGAAAACATGCTAGTTTATAAATATGTGTCTTCTTATCTACCCTGAAAAATTAGTAACAGTGATTAGGCAGATGTGTGTGGGAATCTGAACATTCTATTTTTTTAAAAAAGAAGAAAACAGTTTTTGGAAATGTGTATAAAATCATTTGGCTATATATGCCCAGTTGTGTAACTTTTTAAGTAACTTTAAAAGGCCCTGCTTTATAGGAAATTAGAAGACTGAATGAGGATCAGAATAATATATTCCTCGAGATTATATCTCCTTTAATTCCTGGAAGGAAGTATTCTTATTTTATTCTAAAAAAGTGCAATTCTAAATGGCACGTAAACTTAGGGACACCAGGCAGAATGCTCACTTCAGACTTCCCTTTGAATACGTACGCTGGTGGTGGAACCAAGCCAGAGAGAGCATGATAAGAGTAGGGTGCATGAAAATAACCCTGTCTTCCCATGAATGAAGGGTTTAAAATTTATATTACATAATTGTTTTTATAAAACAATGTACCATTAGTATTTAACACCTCATAAATTGTCAGATATGTACAAAGGTATTTCAAATGTTTGTTGGAAATGTAAATATAAAGAAGGAACTTTTTGCCATCTTTAATGGACTTACGATAAAGCAAAGAAATACTGAGATAAGATTCATATTTTAATATAGAACATGCTTAAAGCGAATATAGAAATTAAACCAGATACTTTTCTTTTAGGCTTAATGGACAAAGAACTTGGAAAAAAAAATCTGGAACCTTGTTTAGATAGATAGATAGATAGATAGATAGATAGATAGATAGATAGATAGATAGATAGATAGATAGATAGATAGATAGATAGATAGTAGCAAGAATACTTTATGTACAAAAATGGAAAGATATTTCAATTCCCATGATGGATGAATGGCTGGAAAAACTGATGGAACTAGCAGAGATGGCTAAATTAACTGCTCTGATCAAGAAAATAATTCATCCAAGTTTTTTTCTATTGGGAAACTGCTTCTGGATTTTGTGCTAAAGATGGGGAAAAAATGAAACATTGACTTTGGGTTTTGCTAATTAGATAAGTTTGTTGTTACAGAAATGGCTAGTACATATGAAGTATGTAAAAAGTAAAAAGTTGAGACTCCAATGTTATTATTCTACTGTACTAAAAAGAGTTGGAAGTCAAGGTTTTTTTTCTTTCTTTTTTCCCCTTCATCTTGCACTTCTTTCCTTCCCTTTTTCCTTCCCCCATTTTTCCACTATTTTCATTTGTACTTTATATTTTGATAAGTTGAATAAAATTAAATTAAAATTAAACGATGGCAAAGCATGAGCAGGCCCTACATGTGATGGAAATGTGAGTGCTCCGATAGTGCCTTGGACTAACACGATTTGACCACACCATAAACGACAACATCCAGTGTTGACTGGGAGTTGCACCAATCATAGCAAAACTGCAGGAAGGAAGACTTAAATGGTATGGACACGTCGTACATGGTAAAGAAGGCTCGGTGGCAAGGACAGCCATGCGTCTGGACCCTGGTGGCCGGTGACCCCATGGCAGACCCAAGAAATGATGGATGGATCCGCATAAAGGAGGACAAAATATGTGTGGGCATCACCCTTGAAGATGCCCTGAATCAAGCCAAATGGAGATGGCTTTGCCAACAAGCAGACCCTGCCATAGTGCGGGAATAGTGTTAGGAAGAAGAAGATGTTTAATAAAATTATTTAAAGAGAGAGAGAGAATAAGTCTGGTTTTCCCCTCATACAATTCTGTTGTGGCAGAGGAGTGCTATTATTTTTATCACATAATGTGTCTGAAAGAGGATAATTTTATAAATTAGATAAATCAACACATAAACAGAGCCTGGTCATTTGTAGCTTGAGTTGAGAGCTCTGTGATCCATTGGTTTGTTTTCTCAGCTGCCCAGGATATTCTCAGGAGTCTTTTCCAACCCCCCCCCCAAGTTCAAAAGCATCAGTACTCTTCCTATCTTGTTTCTTCAAAATCCAACTTTCACTTCCATAAAGTATCACCGGGAATACTATGGCTTATACAATTTTGATACACATCATGATGTTTGAATACTTTCCCAAGCGCTTCATGGCTATCTACCAAGTGCTAGACAGCAGCATATTTCTTGAGTGGGAATGTTAAACAAATGCTTTTTATGTAATAGGCTTTAGCTCTTTTCCCAAGGTGGACTTACTAGGAATGTATAACTTTTCTTCCAATACAATTGCTGCTGGGAGAGATGGCACTGATAATGTTACCTAGTTTGGGTAATTAAATGTCTGCAAGAAAACAACCAAGCTCAGAGAACATCAAGGACCCCCCATGCTGAGAGTGAGTCAAGAAGAAGATTCATTTCAGACTGAATTTTCTAAAGGACTTGATATTGCTGAAATAAAGGTGATGAGTTTTTGGAGTGCTTGAAATGGCTCTATAAATCCTTGATAGTATTGTGATCCTATCCTGGGAAAAGGACAGAGAAGGAAGGACAACAAAATGAGATTTCCATTCCCTTTGCAGTGTTATTTAATTCTCCCCACCACATTTGTGTCCTTCCAGAACCAGATGTGGATGCCCTTTCTAAGAGGAAGGCAAATGACCAGTTTCTTTGTCAGGATATAGGTACATGTGAGAGAACCTGGCCTTGCAGCATTGTGGTGGCTACCTCTGGCCCAAAAGTGGCCCAGCTGATTAGATTGATAGCTTCCTGACGTCAGATGCAATCCGTTAAAAGGTATTTATCTCAGGCTTGGGCCAAAGCTGTGGGTGAGATTAAAAGAGATTGAGGCCAAGATAATCCTACAGCAGCATCCCCGAGCATACCACTGCCAAAATGTTTTTGCCAGCCCACCTTTTTCTTCTGGTAACAGACCAATTTTTTTGTCAGAATTGCTACCCAAGAAAGTGAGATCCCACTCTTACCCCTACCCAGGTGCATTGGGACATGAGAGGAAGCCTCACGGCTGCCTGCCTTTGCTTTCTCAATCCTTTTCTAGATCCATTCAAAACTGCCTAGATATTCTCTTCTCTGGATTATCTTAGCTGTATCAGTGCAATATTAATGCAACAGAAATAAATTATATCAGCCTCTCTTGTTTCCTTTTTTCCTTTTAAACAAAGCACATTATCATCTATCCTCTCCCTATCCACCTGCTTTGCATTAAGTCTCAATCCGATTTACCTAACTCACTGGTGTCTGATTTAATTTGCCTGATGCTGCTCATGGAGTTGTTCCCACCCCTTGCCCTACAGCATCCCAGCTCCCCCAGGGAAATCTATCCAGGATGAGGATGAGACACTGAGAGTGAGTGAGAGACACCAAGTGTGTAGACTGACGGCTAGTGCAGGAACAGCTGAAGGGAACTAGCGGTGTAGCCTGGGTCTCCTGCCCAGAGGGATCTGCTTTTCCCCCCTCTTCCAAGAAGCCACCCCTTAGATTACGGTAAGACTGCTGTGATATTCTCTTTTCTCTATGTTCTTGAGAATTGGTGCTGTTGCACTCTTTGGCTTCTCTTTCTGACTTGGAATGCAAATTAGGTTCTTGAGTATCTGCTTTGGGATGTGTAAAAAAAAAAAAAATAGGCTACTGGATATTTGCCTGAAAAGAAAGATTTAACTTGAGAAGATTAATGACAGGCCATTTAGTTAGAATCATGGTCTTTCTCAGGACCACCTTCACATGCTAATTTCAAAACTATAGAGATTGTGGACAGGAAAATAGGCCCTTTTAAAGGTGATGCTTCAATTTTCAGTCATGAACCAATATCCTGAGCCATTAAGTCTGTAAATTAAAAACTCTAGTAAGTGATATTATAGGTGTTTTTCCATCCATGTGTACTATTATGCAGGAAATATACTTCCAACATAAAGCAGGCTTTCAGAGGAAGATAGATCAGTGCTCTTCAGGGCAGAAATGATCACAACTCAGATACAGTATATAGGAACTTCATTCCCATCACAAAATCTTTAGTACGTGTTCCTTGACCTTGTCCATCAAATAAGAAATGATAGACACACCTGCAAAATATGTTTTGTGTTCTCATCCTTTTGGAGAAAAGGGGTTTTGAAAGAAGAGTTGCAGGACAGAAAATAGATAAGGGTATTTTTTTCATCCTTTTGGCAAGAAGTGGTTAATCTATCCAGTTCTATAGGAAATCAACAAGAGATTACATTGACTTCTAAGTCTCTATTAATCTTCCATTTTCCCATGTTTTTCCTTTTCTGTTTTCAGTTGTTTAGCATGGGCCTCACAAAAAAGGTCTCCCTCAGGAGGAAAAAATGGGTTGTTGAATGAATTAATAGCGGAGGAGTTTGATTTATCTATTATGTATGCCCCTGATAATTCCCAGTTTTGTTCAGCCAAGAAGGCAGTCATTTCAATTAGTGAGTATCATTTGCATCTACCATATATGAGGTTAAGAATCATGCATCCAAAATAATTTCTTAGTGTCTGTTATCGAATCCCATAAAAGAAAGCATAAAGGAGGATAATGTGATATCAAATAATTTTCCAGTTTAGGAATAAGGAAACATACAGGCAGAATAAGAAGGATCTGACCTTGGTTTTCTTACCATTATTCATTGAAAGCCTGAGGAGTATTTGTATTTAGAAAAAGCTATTCAAGTTCCTTGAAAGTTCACTGATAAACAGCGAAGTACATTGCAGTTGCTGATGGACAATTACTTTTTCAGACAGAACAGGCAATAAAGACCAATCAAAGGTCTTGTTGCTTTGCTTCCAATGTGTTTCCCCTAGATAAATGGGTAATTATTCTGTGGACACCTGTATTCCCATCACTATTCAGCCAGGAAGTGCTCTAAGAGAATTTCAGCCAGACATCTTTCAGCCAAACAGATGGGTGGAACTTATGTATGTTGTACCTAGCGGCATAGAGAAGGATTCAGTGCACAAAGAATACAGCTCTTTTTTGATTAAAGAGAGAGCGACGTGAAATATTTCCCTGACTAAAGCCCAGCTATTTCATCTTGTCCAATGTAATAGTCCAAAAAGTGCAGGCAACTTTGTTGCTCTGGAAGAAAACATCCATCCCAAACAATCTAAGCCTATTAATGTTTTAATACAATGAGTAAGTTTTGACTTGCTTAAAATTACCATTCAGATTTAAGCAACAAAAAGGGAGATATTAGAAGATGCTACAATAAAGTAAATTCAGAAAGTGTTGTCATAAAACTGTTTCCAGATATTGCAGATAGGATTGATATTCTGTTTTCTTCTCCCTCCCTTTCTCTTTTCAAGTTTTGCCTCCTTGAATGAGAATTATGTGATATACACCATAAAGCTATAGCTGCTTTAGGATTTATAATTAGTCCCAACCTAGGCATTATAATATTGTTATGTTCAGATTTTATAAAATGTGGATGACCACTAAACTTGGATAAGTTTAAAGCATTGTATTTTATTGCTATTATAAATGGTCCTTATGATCCAGGGATCAGTCTACGTACTATTACAGATACTTGATCAATTACTGCCTCATCTGCCCTGAAACCGGCTTGATGAGCAATTTTCTTCTTGTATGTCCACCCAGCTATTCTCAAAAGGCATCTATATTTAAAGGCCAACATTTACTTTATGTACCTATGAGTTAGAAAAGAATGCTTGTAGGGAAATGAAAAGTTATTCTTATCCCTCACTGTGGCTTCGTATCCTAAGGTGGGAACAATTGGTCCCTTGGAGAGACTTAAAGGTTCTCCTTGAGATCTGAGGCTAAGCTGCTCCATATCTCTTCTGCTATATTTAGCTCTTCTTATCCCTTCTCAGAAGTGACCCTGTGTCCCAGCCTAGGATTCTCCTGACAGTTCAGTTACTCTTCCATTAGAAGAACATGGCTCCTTCTGCAAAGGAATTTTTAAACTTAAAAACAGAAGAGGGGGGAGAAAGAGAGTCTAAGAGACATCAGGATAGGGAAACATAAAGCTACATTAATCTGAAAAGAAGTGGCTATTGGCCAGTTTAAACTATTTCTCCAATACATTTTGGTTGCAAATAAGCCCTATTACCGCAGAGACCTTATTTCTGAAAAGTTTCATTTAGGATAGCAGCCTTAATATTGATTGCAATACATACTTCTAATGTTTCTCTGCTTTTAACCCTGTATTATTCATGGGCTTCACAAAAGAAGTATAACAGTAAAACAATACTGCTTAGTACCTGCATTATTACTCCAGTAATCCTCTCTAAAATTGGAAGTCTGTGGCTAGGAAAGAGCAGCATGCTGAAAATCATCTCTTTTCCACAATCATGGTGATATCTAAACCAAGGGCTTTCCAGTTCACATCTTACAAATTTGCACACAATGCCATGTTGCACTGACATTGGAGAAACCTGAAATCTCTCCCCACATTCCAAAAAACTCCCTCCACTTTTCTAAGCTGTTTATTTATTCGTTTGTTTGTTATTATACTTGTATCCCTTCTTTCCTCCAGAATCTCAGACGGTATTTGTAGCTATGAAGCTGGAATATTTTCATATTATTTAGGTATCATGTATGATGGAGGGAACCTCTATACTGAGCACTCTCCCATATTCTGATCCTGTAAATTACTAATCAGATCCAAGAAAATGGAAGGGTCAGCTGGTAGATTGTGCTAGTTGGGGTAGAGCAAAATCTCAATCCAGATCTCAAGCTAGATAAGTTGGGTCATCATTCAGACCAGGTCTTAAAGCAGGAGCAGGAGAAAAAGCAGGAGCAGGAACAAAGCCAAGGCTAGGCTAGGCAAGGCAAGGTAAGGCAAGGCAAGCTAAGCCAAACCACATTTGAAACACTGCATAGAGTTCTGGTCAGCACAATACAAAAAAGAGGCAAAAAATAAGTCCAACCTAGGTCCAACCTAGAAATAAGGATAAGTTTTCTGACAGTGAGAACAATCAATTAATGGAATAGCTTGTGCCTCCCAGAGTTGTGGATGCTTTATCACTGGAATTTTTCAAAAGTAGACTGGACCACAATTTGACCAGGATGGTATAAGATCTCCTGCCTTGAGCAGGAGGTTAGACTAGAAGACCCCAAAGGTCCCTATCAGCTCTATGATTCTATGTTCTAAAAGTTGGTATAGAAAAGAGGTAAGGACAAGCTGTGGCTTTTGGCCAGTCAGAGAAATATCGAACCATTCTGTTGCATTAGATGTACAGCAGAAAATGCCATTTCTACTTTTTTAAAACTTTGCTTAGGATATATTTTCAACATACACAGCCACTTTTTTTTAATTTTCTCACACTGCTTCTCCCACTATTAAAAAGTATAAGAGGCATTTTGTGCTCCCTCATATACTTGCTCCCTCATATACCAGTTTCCAAGAACAGAACATCTTGAATTATTATTCTCCTCCGGAACAGCATGAGAATTCAGATGAGCCCCTATGAGTAAAACCTTGCCAAATGTTGCAGATTCAGATGAAAACGGATCTCAAAGTCTTTCCACTGCAAGAGGATTGACTGTGTCAGGCAGAAAAGCTAAGCCCCGAAGGAGGCAAGAGGATGTGAAATGGCAAGGAATAAAGACTTTCTATTGTTGATATTAATCTTTATGTTACTGAAGAAGGAATGTAAATGAAGTCAGTCATAATACGTATACTGCCTTTCTGAAGGCAACACATAAAGAAATAGTATAAAAAGAGAATTTTCATAAAACACAACGTCTAACAGAAACCAGGTTCTAAAAGATAAAAACTATCTGTAACATTAAATCTGAATCTTGAATATTTAAAATAAAACTTGGTCCTGTGGATTTCTTCCAGAAGAGAATCCCTAACTGGCTGGTGTGCAGTGGTGGGATTCAAATATATGAACAACCGGTTCTCTGTGTCGATGTCGCTTCCAGAAGTCCAGGTAGAGGAACCTGACAAAGAAGGCCCTCTTCTGTTTTATTCCTGTGGTTATGCTCTCCAAATATTATCTCAACAAAATGTCAATCCCTTTTCAAACAGGACCAGTGAATAGCACATATCATTCCTATTGTGATGAAGGTATAGGGTTCTTTTTAGTGAAACTCTTGACCTGCACCTCCATCATATAAAACATATTTGTTTGTCGGTTTATTGCAGACACCCACATCTACCAGCTGCTGACTGCTGGAAATCAGGTTTTTTTTCCTTCTGCAGTAGGAGGAAGAGTCTTCCTGCTCTATTGCTCTATCCACTGCATCTCTGCTTGAGAACCTGACTGCATTCCTTAATTTCCAGCAAGTTCCTCAAAACTGCAGAAAAGCAGCTAGCAAACCACTTTGAAAGAGATTGAGGTGCCTTGTGTTAACTTTCCGTTGGCAATGATTCATTCTCACTGGACTCCTTGATTCTGCTAATGAGCTGCTCATTACAAAAATTAAAGAGAAGGTCGAATAATTGAGAAGTAGTGTGGCTTTTGCAAAACTTTGGTGACTTTATGAAATTTTGGGGGAAATTTGGATGACTATGTAAAATTCC